CCAAGTCCTGAATGGTCTCACCATATTTCATTAGATGAGGTGCTTCGCCAGGGTGTGCCTGGGTATACACCGCAACAAATATCCGGAAAGCAGACATCCAAGTATCAATATTTAAGATGCGCCTGGGTTTAGAAGTGGGTTCGATKGACAGAGCAGGCTGGTCCCCACTTCTATTTACCACACTTATTTGATACTTGGACTCTGTGACTGGATTCATGAGTAACAAACCAAAGTCAAAAAATTCATTTGATAAAATTTTGGATTTAAGCTTCGCAGGAATTCTAGCCTCYAAACTGAGTCCTACTGACTGGAAAACCTGACTGGGCACAGATTTTTCAGGCTGCTCACCTCTCACACATTTATTAGCAGYATTCACGKCCTCATCAACTGTTGTCTCTGCCGACTTTTCACCCGGTGACTGGCCAGTTGTTACATTTATGTTGCTGGACTCCTGAAGGTTTTGCCCAAGGGGTACTTCTGTGAGATCATTATCTGCATCCTGTTGAAATGTTGATGTAGCAGCAGCGTCATTTGCAGTTTGCGTCTGAGTTAAACCTCGAGTCAGCAAGGGGGTTATACTCTTTGTGACCTCAGCGCTCACTCAAGCCACCAGCTCATTAAACATACTGGTAGACAGTGCCATTGATGATGTCGCTCCAGCTGTAGCATCAATCACATCACTCTCTTCCTGAGGAACCACAGGACGGCCTTTCTTGGTTCCCTTCTTATTAGCTTTCTTTTTTGATGCGGCTGGGGGGACAGGTGCCTGTGGGTCTTGTCGAGACCTAGTAACTATGGTGTTTTGTGTTAATTTCACTTCAGAAATAGGCCTTTTCTGATGTGCAGATTGTCACGGAGGCATCCTGAAAAGAAAAGCAATGGCAACAGAGACCATATGACCGCCACAACTTTAAGAGGGAGCAAGGTCCCACCAATAGTTGATTAAAAATTAAATAAAACCCACAGTATGGAAGATAAATAAACCCGGGACAATAAGACCCATATAAAAAATTGTGGGAAAATGTTAGTAATGGGAGGTGAGCCCCAAAAGGATCAAACCTGAGGGTAAAGCCTCAACATGGAATGGGTAAAAATAAAATTTAACAAGGGGAAGTTAAGTCCCTTAATATGCCTGTTTAATGAAAAATTGAGGAATTAAGCCCCAAATGACAACAAGAAAAGGGGGAGTGAAGCCCCCATTCTTTGTTAAAATTGAGGAGTTAAGCCCCAAAATACAACAAGGGAGTTTTAAGCTCCCCSTTCACATACAAGTTGAGGAATTAAGCCCCCAAATGTCAACAAAAATAGAGGGAGTGAAGCCCCCATTCTGTGTTAAAATTGAGGAGTTAAGCCCCAAAATATAACAAGGGAGTTTTAAGCTCCCCGTTCACATACAAGTTGAGGAATTAAGCCCCAAATGTCAACAAAAAATAGAGGGAGTGAAGCCCCCATTCTGTGTTAAAATTGAGGAGTTAAGCCCCAAAATACAACAAGGGAGTTTTAAGCTCCCCSTTCACATACAAAGGATTGCAGCCTCCATTGAAATACTCCAAATACGAATTTAAAAACGAAAACAGCCTTAAATATAACGCAAATCAAACAATCAAGAAATAACTGRAAGAAAATTAATCTAAGAATCGAGCAACAAGAGATATCGACATCGTTGAGTGCTGAGCATCAATCAAAAAACAAAACAATAAAATATAATTCATGGACAAAGAAATTGCTAATTTGAAAAGCTAAATACGCGAGAAAGTAAAATAAAATATTGCTACTAAAAGAATTAGGGACAAAAGATGATCAACTCAAAGCATCGTCAGAACTTTCAAAATGGCGCCCCTATAACTGCGATACAACAAGTATTGCCCTAACTTATTGACGTGAACTCCGTCAGGTAATAAAACTTCACGAACGGGATTAGAAAGACCCTTATGAAACCAACTAAAGACCCCAGGAAGCGGCTCGAGAAGAGCCTGTAAAACCCTGTGAAGAGTACGGACCTTCCCATTGAATGGCTCGGCAAAAGGTCCGCCACGTGGGATAACGTGACAAACACAAACAATACGGACCCCAAATTCTCTAC